TATAGCCTAAGACACTCTGTATAGTGTTGATGATAAAAGTGATAACAAAATGCTCTGATTAGTGCTTTTCATACTTTGCAGGTGATATACGACAAGAGAAGGCTATGGAGTACTTTTGGGATCAAATATGGAGAAAAAGAGGCCAATCGTAAAATTTTGCCAAGTGAACCAAGCGAAGCAGCTCAAGCCACGCCTGAAGAAGGACTGCCGCGGTTCCACCGCGACCGCGGCAGAATCGCGGTAGAAGACTGTCGCGGATAAGTTGAGATTCAGAGAAGGTGTGTGGCCGCGGTTTGGCCGCGACCGCGGCAGAACCGCGGCAGAGGCGGAAAAGTTCAGGGACTTAAGTGCAAAACACGGAATTTTTAGCCCAAAACCCTATTTTAAATACTAGACTTCGCCCAAAGGAGGCAAGAATTGTATTGGAGAATATTTTAACAAGCAAAACAATTGTGAGAGATCACCTAAAACATCATATCTTCTTCTTCTTTAATTTTTCTTGCAAGTATGATTATGAATATTGTTCTAGTTTATTTACCCATAGTCATGAGCAGCTAAATCTTTTGTCTAGGGTTTTGATGGAACCTATTGAGGGATGAACTTCTTGTTTATGTGAATACAGTTTGTCAGTTTAATTTCTATTTGTTCAACTACGTGTTTGTTGTAGTTAATTGACAGGATCCTCAATTAGCTGTGCCTATTTAGTGTGCATAACTCGGGAGAGAGTGCATATTTAGGTTATTGTTGAACAACACCACTCCCAAAGTATAAGAGGGATCTCTAACTGCGGGTTTAAAAGGCGGGATTAGGAATAACAAAGCCTTGGGTGCAATCTTAAGTGAACTGTGATAAATAAAGCTAGCTAGTGTATCTCGGGAGAGTGCATTTAGTAAATTACTGTGATTACTCGGGAGAGATTTACGGTAAGAAGAGCGTTCATGATTGATAGAATGTGTTGGTGAATATGTAGGAAACATAAACAGAAAGAATTCCATCAATAGGGGAAATCAGTACCTTAGCGCTTTCTCATTATTGTTTACAGCTTAGCATCTTTAATTTGCAGTTATTAGTTACTGTTAATCTTAGTTATTAAAAACACCATCAACTGTGATTCTCAACGTTTGGGAAATTGATTCTAAAGAGTTTAGTAGGTCTAAAGATAGTGATTGATAGGTTAATTCTCTGTGGATTCGACTCTGGGCACAATACTCAGGTTATATTTGCAACGTCCGCATTGTCCTTTTTATAAGGCATAGTTGGGCGTGATCAATACACTTGCAACATGACCTGGTTTGTTGCACAACTGGCAGCGAACACCATCATAAGAGCTGTTGGTGTCCGAAGATCGCCCTTGATTTTGTGAGTTAAAGCGATTGTTGTATCGCCATTGTTGGTTGTTGCCATTGTTATTGTTGGAGCGACGATCGTTGCGATTGTTGGAGTTTCCAGATTTGTTAAATGTAGCAGCAGCAACAGTAATTTGTCTAGGAGCTTTCTTTGACTCTTCATGTCTAAGGAAAAGCTCATGATCAAGAAGCTTTTCATAGAGTTCTTCATACGTAATAGTGGAGTCACGAGCACGAATTGCAGCAGAAATCTCACGAAACTCTGGTCCTAGACCACTCAGGATCTTGACAATGAGTTCAGAGTTTGTGACAGGGGCACTAGCAGTAGAGAGTTCTTCAGCCATGGATCAAATGTTTTGCAAATATTCAGTGACTGGTTGGGAGTCTTTTGTGAGTCGCGCAAGTCGATCGCGAAGGCTGAAAATTCTGGTTTGGGACTTGTTAGCATATGCAGTGTGCAATGCATCCTAGGGTTTTTTTGCTGAGTCACCAGCTGCAATAGTAGTGGAAATTGTTGGATCAACAGATGCCATAAGTGCATTTTGAATGAGTTGGTCTTGATGAAACCAAAGAGCAAATGCAGGATTGGCAATAAGGACTGACCATAAAGATCATGACCATGCATAAGCATGAAAAATTGCGCCTTCCAAGTTGCAAAGCTGTGGATGCCTTGTAATTTTATTTGCAATTGTGACGCGGGATTAAATTGGTCGACTATCACACCACTATTGTTATCAGCATTAACAACTCGAGTAGTGTTGGCCATTTGTGGAGGGTGAGTGGGAGAGAAAAAAAGATAGGATCTTACTCATTAGAGTTTGTTGAGGCTCTTGATACCATATAAGAACAAGAGAGACACAAAAAGCTGATTTTTTTATTGAGTCAAAGCAACCTTTACATACAAGAGTGTAAACCAACTCCCTAAACTAACTCCTCTGGAAGAGGAGGACTAAACTACTTGCTAAACAAACTCCTTGAATAAGAAGATTTATTTGAGAAAATAAAGGAATAACAAAATCCTAACTACTAGCTAAAGAATAGTCAAAGCAGTAAAGTAGCTAATGGTTAACTTATGCTCTAATACTTTAAAGTTTCTGTTTTCTCAGTTTATTTATTATTCTAGTTTCTTTTTCGAATATGGATAGGTAACAAGTAGCACTTTACCCTCCAATGTGAGACTTTTCGATACGAATCCGGATTTAATTAGGGTCCAATATGAGTATCGAACGCCGAATGAAAAAAAGAAGAAGATATGTAGGTGGCCTATGCATCTAATATATCTTTCATTTTAGGAGAGCAATGTTTTAAAAATCGAAGTTGGAATTTACTTGGGGATAAGCTTTGAGGGTGGGTTGATATCTTGTGAAATAAGAAAGTTTAGACAAATACAAAATGTTATGTTAGAACTTAGAAGGACTATTTAGGTGAACTTGCAACCAGAAGCGTCGATGGTTTGAAATACAAATTAGAATATGCATCAAATAACATATTGGGAAATCTACTAATGAGTGGAAGGGTTTTTAAATTTTTGACTTGTTAGAATCAGTTTTCCATACTAAGCTAAGGTCACTTTTATCTTCAGGCAATGAATGTGTATGTCAGTTACGTTATAACTCGCCCTTGTGTCTTTGTTGACCGTCCTCATTTTATCTTTTTTTCATTGTTAATCTTGAGGAGAGGTTGGTGGATAGTATTTGCTATTTTGCTCGAGCTTTTTAAATCGAGTTGAATAGTTAAGGACTACCCAACTTTACAACGGACAAGTTAATTTCATCCTCTCAAAGGTTGAATACTTTTATTCACGTGACTACCGTGCCACACTGAACAACACGGTACATAAGCTGTTATGGAACCAGGTTACTTAGCTTGCCCAACTACAGCACAATTACACAGAACAAGGAAAAGGAAGATAAAGTACTTTAACAATGGATATGACCGTAAGTATTTTTCTTAATGAAGTTGGTATATGAGTTAAGTTTGTGCACACCTCAACCATATGATAAAGTATTTCTATCTTTTATCAGTATAGATATCGAATAACTTTACCTATTAAGTTTAAGCAAATATAAAAAAATTATCTAACATTTTCTTGTCTCGTTTTCTCATAATTTTCACCAAGTTCATTGATAGTTACGTCATATTCTTAAGAGAATAGCATGGGCCAGCTAGTTTTTGGACTGATAATAGAAAAATAGTTAGTGTTTGCAAAGTCGTTGAAAAATAGTCATTGTTTTGCTGAAACACGAAAAGTTTCAGCATAATATGCTGGATTATGGAGCTCATGCGTATAAACTTCGAGCATATTATGTTGGAACTCCAGCACATTATGTTGGAATCTCATATGTAAAAAATTCGAACTCCAGCATATTATGCTAGAATTTTCCGAATTTTCCGAAATTTTAAGGGTATTTTTACTCAAATTTTATCTTTACATGAAAATATAGCCAAATTTTGAATACTTTTGAAACTGTGGTTATTTTTTATTACCTGTTGTAAATCTGGCTATTTCTATTTTTTTTCTGTATCCTTTGCCTGCACATGGGCTTATATAATAATGGGAAAACTTCACAAATGTACCCAAATAAGTTTTGACTTACCAATCTCTAGCCATTAGTCATAGACTTACCAAAATTAGCCAAACACATATAAAAATTGAAAAATCAAATGAATAAGGTTCTTTCTCTCAAAGAATTACATGCAAAAATCACCTTCCATATTTTTAAACGTAATTAGCAACATTAGATGCAAGACGGAAAGGAAATTTCATGGATGATGTAGCAAATAAGGTGATGAAATATAAAAAGAAAAAAACATACAATATTCCAAAAATCTAAGCAAAACAAGAACTTTTGCAATGGGTATAGTTGAAATTCATTGAAAACATATAGATAAGTCAATATACAAAATTTGAGGAAGACTGGAGGTGATTTCGACTGGTTTTGTACCAAAATTCGTAATTAAATCGAGTTCAAAAAATATTTATGCGACACATGTATCAAACATGTATCACGCATGTATCTGACACATGGGTATACATGGATATACATGTGATCACAATTGATACAAAATGATACATATGTGATACGCAAATGATACACAATATGCTACACATTCATTTTTTTTCGATGTTCAAGTTTTTACTTCGAATTTTAATTTCAACCACCTCAAAACTTCACCAAAATCATCCCAAACTGAGATTCAAGCTTCTTAAGATGTACCTAATCTATTCTAATAACACCCACTCAAAAAAAACAGCAAAAAATTTGTCATTTTTTTTGCTACAAATAGCTAATTGGCTAATATTAATGAATATTTGACTAATATCTAGTAATATATTATGAATTTGCCAGTTTTTGCAATGGCTACTATATAGTTATAATAAAACATAACTGATAATTTCCCTATAATAATTGCATTTGGAGGTCTTTAACTTTCTTAACCTCTTACAACCAAAATTACACGTTGGGTTTAATTCAAAAGAAGAAAGATGTTGCATATTGGGCCCTAAATATAACCCAACAAAAAACTGAGGCTCAACCAAATTCAAGTACTGTATCATTACAAGTCGCTTAGTGGTTAGCCATCCTAAAAAAAAGTAATCTTTCTCGATTAAAAGTCGGTTGATTTAGCGGTAAAATTGTATCCCTTAGGAAACCGTATGTGCGCCGCTTTTGATACGGGGCATTTGGATCTATACCGCTTTTGGATCACCGTTTTAACTTAGTTCTCTTTTGCACAAAAATTGCAGCGTACCCACTTTCGTGTAACTTCCAGGCTACGGGCCTGAAGTAGCAAAGAGAATCACGCAAACTTCAGCATTCTAGTAGACGAGCCTGAAGAAGCAAAAATTGCTGAACCAAGTTGGCTGAAATTTTTGTTTGTAATTGCTGACTTAAGCATTCTAGTAGCTGGAGTTTTGTTCTCTATTTGCTGACTTCCAGCATGTTTTTGCTGAATTTTTTCGCGTAACTTCAGGCATACTGGCTGAAAGTAGCAAAGGCAATCACGCAAACTTCAACATTCTAGTAGACAGGCCTGAAGTAGCAAAATTGTTGAACCAAGTATTGGCTGAAGTTTTTGTTTGTAATTGCTGAACTTAAGCATTCTACTAGCTAAAGTTTTGTTCTCTATTTGCTGAACTTCAGCATGCTTTAGCTGAGTTTTGTTCTATATTTGCTGAACTTCAGCATGTTTTGTTGAAGCTTTGTTATGTTTGTGATGAACTTCAGGGTTGAAGTTTATTTTGTATTTGCTGAACTTCAGCTTCTTATGGAGCTGAAAAACTTTGTTATATAGTTAAGAATTATGCGCAATAGCGCGTGTACCTAATATGTATGAGTATAAGTTAAATAATATATTTGAGTTAATTAAAATAAAAGTTTTAAAAAATATAAGCTACTTGAAAATAATAAATATTAATTCTATTAGTTTTTGAAAAGATTACAGATGACCTAGCTAAGTATGAAAATAATTCAAATAACTTTAAAAGCTTGATAATCTATCATGTATCCGCTCCTGTAATTATAAACTTTGTATGAAAATGATTGTATAGGTACTGTGTATTCTAGACATGTCAACTAAAAGAAAGATCGCGACAGATAAATTTTGTAGTTAGGCAGCAAAATTTCGTTGCTGAATAAAAAAATAACAACAAATTATTAAAAATTATATCCAATTCGAGGTCTTATGTATTAGTTAACCAAATTATAAAGAAGATTAGAGATCTTATTTGATCTTCTTGCAACAATCTTACTAAATTTAGTTATTATCGCCATCATTCTAAACAACACGACCATAAGAAGTTATATAAATTTTGTCAAATTTAATCTGTATTTAAAAAGTTAGAAGAAATAGAAGTGGTTAAAAAAGAAAACAGTCAACATCACGTTACCTTTTTTTTTATTGCTTGGAATGGTTCCTTTTTATGTAGGAAAAGAATAAGTAGTCCTAAATATTAGGCCTACTAACAAAAACTTGTACGAAATCGTTGAAGCAAATATTTAAATCATCATAGTTAATTACTAAAACTTAATTTAGCAATTGAATACAGATGTCTTTATTAAAAGCGTCTAAATTAGTGAAAATATATTTCTCTTATGCCTTTCTAAAATCTTGAAATTGTATTCAAATAAGGAAATGTTTGTAAAATCTTGAAATTGTATTTAAATAAGGAAATATTTGATAGTAAAAGTTATTAGTTAATTTTGAAATCCTAAATATTAGGAAAATAATAAATTGACTATTTTGTCTAGTATGGAATCTATATTAAAAGGGTAAAAATGACGAATAATATTTCCGGGCCTCGCGCTTTTAATATAGTACTAGTCTCTATATACGTGCGTTG